AAGGAGCGGGTACTGCAAAATCGACGATGTTGGTGCTTTTTTGTGGAGTTTCCCCCTTTTCGGCGGCCTTGGAAGCCGGAAATCCCTGAAAATCCGAAGGGCCTTGGAAATGGCCACCGGAAAAGGAGCACATATTGCAAAATCGACGATTTTGGTGCTTCTGTGGTGTTTCCCCCATTTCGGCAGCCTTGGAAGCAGGAAATCCTTGAAAATCCGAGGGGCCTTGGAAATAGCTTCCGGAAAAGGAGCACGTACTGCAAAATCGACGATTTTGGTGGTTTTGTGAGGTTCCCCCCATTTCGGCAGCCTTGGGAAATCCGTGAAAATCCGAGGGGCCTTGGAAATGGCCTCGGGAAAAGGAGCGGGCACTGCAAAATCGACGAGTTTGGTGCTTTTGTGGGGTTTCTTCCATTTCGGGCTTTGGAAGCCGAAAATCTGTGAAAATTCGAGGCGCCTTGGAAATGGCTTCCGGAAAAGGAGCACGCATTGCAAAATCGACGATTTTGTACTTTTGTGGGGTTTCCTCCATTTCGGCAGCCTTGGAAGCCGGAAATCCTTGAAAATCCAAGGCGCCTGGGAAATGGTCCCGGAAAAGGAGCGGGTACTGCAAAATCGACGATTTTGGTGCTTTTGTGGGGTTTCCCTATTTCCGCGGCCTTGCAAGCCGGAACTCCATGAAAATCTGAGGGGCCTTGGAACTGGCCTCCGGAAAAGGAGTGAGTACTGCAAAATCCACGATTTTGGTGCTTTTGTGGTGTTTCTCCCATTTCGGGCTTTGGAAGCCGGAAATCCCTGAAAATTCGAGGGGCCTTGGAAATGGCTTCCGAAAAAGGAGCACGTATTGCAAAATCGACGATTTTGGTGCTTTTGTGGTGTTTCCACCATTTCGGCAGCCTTGGAAGCCGTAAATCCTTGAAAATCCGAGGGGCCTTGGAAATGGCCTCCGGAAAAGGAGCGGGTACTGCAAAATCGACGATGTTGGTGCTTTTTTGTGGAGTTTCCCCCTTTTCGGCGGTCTTGGAAGCCGGAAATCCCTGAAAATCCGAAGGGCCTTGGAAATGGCCACCGGAAAAGGAGCACATATTGCAAAATCGACGATTTTGATGCTTTTGTGGTGTTTCCGCCATTTCGGCAGCCTTGGAAGCAGGAGATCCTTGAAAATCCGAGGGGCCTTGGAAATAGCTTCCGGAAAAGGAGTACGTACTGCAAAATCGACGATTTTGGTGGTTTTGTGGGGTTCCCCCCATTTCGGCAGCCTTGGGAAATCCATGAAAATCCGAGGGGCCTTGGAAATGGCCTCCGGAAAAGGAGAGAGTACTGCAAAATCGACGATTTTCGTGCTTTCTTGGGGTTCCCCCCATTTCGGGCCTTGGAAACCGGAAATCACTGAAAATCCGAGGCGCCTTGGAAATGGCCTTCGGAAAAGGAGCACGTACTGCAAAATCGACGATTTTGGTGCTTTTGTGGGGTTTTCCCCATTTTGGTGCCTTGGAAGCCGGAAATCCTTGAAAATCCAAGGCGCCTGGGAAATGGCCTCCGGAAAAGGAGCGGGTACTGCAAAATCGACGATTTTGGTGCTTTTGTGGGGGTCCCCTATTTCCGCGGCCTTGCGAGCCGGAAATCACTGAAAATCCGAGGGGCCTTGGAAATGGCCTCGGGAAAAGGAGCGGGTACTGCAAAATCGACGATTTTGGTGCGTTTGTGGAGTTTCACCTTTTCGGCGGGCTTGGAAGCCGGACATCCTGAAAATGCTGGGGGACTTGCAAATGGCCTCCGGAAAAGGAGCGGGTATTGCAAAATGAATGATTTTGATGCTTTTGTGGAGTTTCCCCCATTTCGGCAGCCTTGAAAGCCGGAAATACCTGAATACCCGAGGGGCCTTGGAAATGGCCTCCAGAAAAGGAGCGGGTATTGCAAAATCGACGTTTTTGGTGCTTCTGTGGGGTTTCCCACATTTCGGGCCTTGGAAGCAGGAAATCCTTGAAAATCCGAAGGGGCTTTGGAAATGGCACCCGGAAAAGGAGCACGTATTGCAAAATCGGCGATTTTGGTGCTTTTGTGGAGTTTCCCCCATTTCGCGCCTTGGCAGTCGGAAACACAAGAAAATCCGAGGGGCCTTGGAAATGGCCTCCAGAAAAGGAGCGGGTACTGCAAAATCTGTGATTTTGGTGCTTTTGTGGGTGTCCATCCTTTTCGGCGGCTTTGGAAGCTTGAAATCCAAGAAATCCGAGGGGCCTTGGAAATGATCTCCGGAAAAGGAGCGGGTACTGAAAAATCGATGGTTTTGATGCTTTTGTGGGATTTCCACCATTTCGGGCCTTGGAAGCCGGAAATTCCTGATAATCGGAGGGGCTTTGGAAATGTTCTATGCCCACTCAATTTCGGAAATATAAGAGAATCCTTTTTGAAAGATGCATACAAACAGAAATAAGTTCAGGCCCTAAACCCTAAAAGGAGTAGGTTTGGGTGGTTGCGCCGCCTCATGAACGGCGCGGGGTGGGAAGAAAGAACCGGGCCGCCATAAGCCGGCCGAAGAGCAGCCTTCGCTGCAAGCACGCCGCCCGCCGCAAGATTCGCACAAGCACTGACGGCTCACCCGTCCCCGGAAACCAAACAACTTCCATGAAAAAGGGCGAAACCCTAAACCCTAAACCCTAAACCCTTAACCCTAAACCCTAAACCCTAAACTTAACCCTAAACCCTAAACCCTAAACCCTAAACCCTCAAGCAAATGATAAATAGAAGGTGTGTGTTGGACGGTTCGGATGGCAGGGCCATGACAATAGCAATAAGCGTGTTGTGAAAAATGTTTTTTCATTGCAAATTTGTTGTTCTGCGAGAGCTCGAAAGCAGGGGCAGGGCAGGTTCGAGGCAGCAAAAAACAAAGCCACCTGCACCAAAAAAGCAAAAGCAAAAACCCTGTCAAAACCCGCCCGAAACCCGCCACCCGCCAACTCCGGACCCAAACCCTACACACCTTCTATAAACCCTTAACCCTAAACCCTAAACCCTAAACCCTAAACCCTAAACCCTCAAGCAAATGATAAATAGAAGGTGTGTGTTGGACGGTTCGGATGGCAGGGTCGTGACAATAGCAATAAGCATGTTGTGAAAAATGTATTTTCATTGCAAATTTAGGAATCTCGAATCTCCGACCTTCCCAGAAAGGACTCTCGAACACCCGACCTTCCCGGAATGGAATCTCGAACCCCCGACCTTCCCAGAAAGGAATCTCGAACCTCCGACCTTCCTAGAAAGGAATCTCGAACCTCCGATCTTCACAGAAAGGAATCTCGAACCCTCGACTTTCCCAGAAAGGAATCTCGAACCTAAACCTTGGTGGGCACAGCAGGGCACAGCAGGGGCAGGGCAGGGCTCGAGGCAGCAGAAAACAAAGCCACCTGCACAAAAAAGCAAAAGCAAAAACCCTGACAAAACCCGCTCGAAACCCGCTCGAAACCCGCTCGAAACCCGCCAAAACTCCGGACCCAAACCCTACACACCTTCTATAAACCCTAAACCCTAAGCCCCTAAACCCTAAACCCTAAACCCTAAACCCTAAACCCTAAACTAAACCCTAAACCCTAAACCCTAAACCCTAAATTTAGACGGCCAGAAGCCGAAGATGCGCCAGCGCAGGTTGTGGTTTTAAGAGCAAAAGGAAGGCAGGATTTAAGGAAAGCAACGGTCGACCACAGGGCAGTTTAAGTAAATTGACAAGTTTTTTCTAAGTGCAACTGAACGGTTTAAGTAAATTGAAATGACCCAAGCAACACACCCGAAACCTTAAACCCTAAACCCCAAACCCTAAACCCTAAACCCTAAACCCCAAACCCTAAACCCTTAAACCCTAAACCCCTTAACCCTTAACTCCAAACCCTAAACCTTAAACCCTAAACCCGAAGCCCTAAACCCTAAACCCTAAACCCCTAACCCTAAACCCTAAACCCTTAACCCTAGACCCGGAACCCCTAACCCTTAACCCTTTACCCTTAGTCCTAAACCCTTAACCCTGAGCCCTTAACTCTTAACACTAAACCCTAAACCTTAAATCCCAAACCCTAAACCCCTAAACCCTAAACCTTAAACCCTAAAGCCCAAACCCTACATCTTTAATACTAAACTTTAAACCCTAAACCCCTAGCCCTTAACCATTTACCCTTAGTCCTAAACCCCAAACCATAAGCCCTTAACCCTTAACCCTAAACCCCAAACCTTAAATCCTAAACCCTAAACCCCTAAACCCTAAACCTTAAACCCTAAACCCTGAACCCTAAACCCTAAACCCTCAAGACAGGATAAATAGAAATTGTATACCGTGACAGTGCAGCTCCTACTTTGAGAAATTGAAATGTGGTCTCAGCGACAAGGCTGAGAGGGCTTATCCGGAGAGCTTTTCCTCAAACAAAACAGGAACCTGAAGGTATGCAGTTCAGGAGCTAGCCGACCTTCCCCCTCCCCCTCCCTCCCCCTCCCATGCCCTATTGACGGCCTTTTCCGCCCCTTCCACAGTTGGCAGCTCAGGGAAGGTAGTGGCAGAAATCAATGGGGTGCGGGGTCTTCCCCCCGCCCCCCCTCCCCCTCCCCCCCTCCCTCCCCCTCCCCACCCGGTGCCTCCTCCGGAGGGTGGCACGAGTCTCACGGGGGGTAGTGGGCAGACACCAAAAAACAATCCTCAACTAAAATGGGGTGTGGGGTTCCCCCCGCACCCCTCCCCACCCCCCCCCCCCTCCCTCCCCCCCCCCACCCGGTGCCCCCTCCGGAGGTCCCCCCCTTCCCTCCATCCGCTCTGCCCCTCCCACCCCCTTCCCACCCCCCTCCCCTCCCAACCCGCTCACTTAGACCGCAACAGCGTGGAGTGCCAGGTGCGTATCCTCAAGAAGAAGAAGGCCGGGAGCGGGAACGAAGCCGTGCAGGCTCGCCTGCATGGTGTCCCAGGTACGTGGTCCCAACCCCAAGAAGACCGAAGTGAGGAGGTGAGCGCTGATTATCCTCAACCAATGTGGGGTCCCAGGTGCGTGGTCTCAGTCGAAGAAGGCGGAGGCAGGGACGAGGCCGGAGCACTTATCCTCACCCAATATGGGGTCCCAGGTGCGTGGTCTCAGCCCGAAGAAGGCGACGAGGCCGGAGCGCTTTTCCTCAACCAATATGTTCCAGGCGCGTGCTCGGAGGCGGGAGCGCTTATCCTCAACCAATATGGGGTCCCAGGTGCGTGCTCTCGCGGACCAGGCCGGCGCAATATGGGGTTCCAGGCGCGTGGTCTCAGCCCGAAGAAGGCGGAGGCGGGGACGAGGCCGGAGCTGGGGTCCCAGGTGCGTGCTCGGCAGGGACGAGGCCGGAGCGCTTATCCTCAACCAATATGGGGTCCCAGGTGCGAAAGCGGAGGCGGGGACGAGGCCGGAGCGCTTATCCTCGACCAACGTGGAGTCCCAGGTACGCGATCTCGGCCCGAAGAAGGTGAAGGTGGGGACGAGGGCGGAGCACTTATCCTCAACCGATATGGGGTCCTAGGTGCGTGCCCTACCGCAGCGTGCATCAGTGCCAGGTGCTTGAAGCCAGAAGAAGGCGAGCTTCAAGAGGAGGCGACAACAAGCTCGAAGGACTTACTCTCAGAATACGTTCTCGGCGCGTGGTCTCAACCTGAAGAAGACAGAGGCGGCGACAAGGCCGGATCGCCTATCCTCAACTGTCATGGGTTCCCAGGTTCGTGGTCTGGAGAGAACAGAAGCCGAGACCAGGCCGGAGTGCCTATCCTCAATCAATATGGGGTCCCAGGTGCGCGGTCTCAACTTGAAGAGGATGGAGGCGGGAACCAGGCCGGAGCACTTCTCCTCAACCAACACCGGGTCTGAGGTGCGTGGTCTCAACTCGAACAGGACGGAGGCGAGGAGAGGCCGGAGTGCCTATCCTCAACCAAGATAGGCTCCCAGGTGCATGGTTTCATCTTGGAGAAAAGAGAAAGGACGAGGCCTCAACCAATATGAGGTCCGAGGTGCGTGACCCCAGCAAAAAGACGACGGAGGCAAGGACAAGGCCGGGGTTCGAAGTGCGTGGCCCCAGGAAGCTCAAGCTGAAGAAGACAGAGGCAAGAACGAGGCCGGGAGGGCTTATCCTCAACCAATATAAGTTTCCGAGGCGTGGAAGCTCAAGATGAAGAAGGGCAAGGACAAGGCCGGGAGGGTTTATCATCAACCAATATGGGTTTCCAAGACGTGGGGTCTCAAGCTGCAGAAGCGCAATGACAAGGCCGGGAGGGTTTATCCTCAACTAGTATGGGTTTCCGAGGTGTGGAAGCTCACAAGTCGAAGAAGACAGAGGCAAGGACAAGGCCGGGAGGGTTTATACTCAACCAGTATGGGTTTCCGAGGTGCGGAAGCTCACAAGTCGAAGAAGACAGAGGCAACGGCAAGGCCGGGAGAGCTTATCCTCAACCGATGTGGGTTTCCGAGGTGCGGAAGCTCACAAGTCGAAGAAGACAGAGGCAACGGCAAGGCCGGGAGAGCTTATCCTCAACCGATGTGGGTTTCCGGGGTGTGGAAGCTCCAGCCGAAGAAGACAGAGGCAGGGACAAGGCGGGAAGGCTTATCCTCAACCGGTATGGGGTTCCGAGGTGTGGGAGCTCAAGCCGAAGAAGACAGAGGCAAGGACAATCCAGGGTATGGAAGCTTGAGCCTCAACCAATGTGGGTTGCCGAGGTGTGTGGTCTCAGCGACAAGGCTGAGAGGGCTTATCCGGAGAGCTTTTCCTCAAACAAAACAGGAACCTGAAGGTATGCAGTTCAGGAGCTAGCCGACCTTCCCCCTCCCCCTCCCTCCCCTCCCATGCCCTATTGACGGCCTCCCTTCCAGAGGTGGCAGGGTGGCACGAATTCTCAGGGAAGGTAGTGGCAGAAATCAATGGGGTGCGGGGTCTCCCCCCCGCCCCCCCTCCCCCGCCCTCCCCCCCCCCCTCCTGGGCCGGGAGGGTAGTGGGCAGACACCAAAAAACAATCCTCAACTAAAATGGGGCGTTGGTTCCCGCCCCTCCCCGCCCCCCTCCCCCACCCTCCCCCCTCCCTCCCCCTCCCCACCCGGTGCCTCCTCCGGAGGGTGGCACGAGTCTCACGGGGGGTAGTGGGCAGACACCAAAAAACAATCCTCAACTAAAATGGGGTGTGGGGCTCCCCGCACCCCTCCCACCCTCCCCCCCCTCCCTCCCCCCCCCCACCCGGTGCCCCCTCCGGAGGGTCCCCCCCCTCCCTCCCCCCCTTCCCTCCCCCGCTCCCTTCCCTCCCCCTCGCTCTGCCCCTCCCACCCCCTCCCCTCCCAAACCCGCTCACTTAGACCGCAACCAGCGTGGAGTGCCAGGTGCGTATCCTCAAGAAGAAGAAGGCCGGGAGCGGGAACGAAGCCGTGCAGGCTCGCCTGCATGGTGTCCCAGGTACGTGGTCCCAACCCCAAGAGACCGAAGTGAGGAGGTGAGCGCTGATTATCCTCAACCAATGTGGGGTCCCAGGTGCGTGGTCTCAGTCGAAGAAGGCGGAGGCAGGGACGAGGCCGGAGCACTTATCCTCACCCAATATGGGGTCCCAGGTGCGTGGTCTCAGCCCGAAGAAGGCGACGAGGCCGGAGCGCTTTTCCTCAACCAATATGTTCCAGGCGCGTGCTCGGAGGCGGGAGCGCTTATCCTCAACCAATATGGGGTCCCAGGTGCGTGCTCTCGCGGACCAGGCCGGCGCAATATGGGGTTCCAGGCGCGTGGTCTCAGCCCGAAGAAGGCGGAGGCGGGGACGAGGCCGGAGCTGGGGTCCCAGGTGCGTGCTCGGCAGGGACGAGGCCGGAGCGCTTATCCTCAACCAATAAGGGGTCCCAGGTGCGAAAGCGGAGGCGGGGACGAGGCCGGAGCGCTTATCCTCGACCAACGTGGAGTCCCAGGTACGCGATCTCGGCCCGAAGAAGGTGAAGGTGGGGACGAGGGCGGAGCACTTATCCTCAACCGATATGGGCTCCTAGGTGCGTGCCCTACCGCAGCGTGCATCAGTGCCAGGTGCTTGAAGCCAGAAGAAGGCGAGCTTCAAGAGGAGGCGACAACAAGCTCGAAGGACTTACTCTCAGAATACGTTCTCGGCGCGTGGTCTCAACCTGAAGAAGACAGAGGCGGCGACAAGGCCGGATCGCCTATCCTCAACTGTCATGGGTTCCCAGGTTCGTGGTCTGGAGAGAACAGAAGCCGAGACCAGGCCGGAGTGCCTATCCTCAATCAATATGGGGTCCCAGGTGCGCGGTCTCAACTTGAAGAGGATGGAGGCGGGAACCAGGCCGGAGCACTTCTCCTCAACCAATATCGGGTCCGAGGTGCGTGGTCTCAACTCGAACAGGACGGAGGCGAGGAGAGGCCGGAGTGCCTATCCTCAACCAAGATAGGGTCCCAGGTGCATGGTTTCATCTTGGAGAAAAGAGAAAGGACGAGGCCTCAACCAATATGAGGTCCGAGGTGCGTGACCCCAGCAAAAAGACGACGGAGGCAAGGACAAGGCCGGGGTTCGAAGTGCGTGGCCCCAGGAAGCTCAAGCTGAAGAAGACAGAGGTAAGAACGAGGCCGGGAGGGCTTATCCTCAACCAATATAAGTTTCCGAGGCAAGGACAAGGCCGGGAGGGCCCATCCTCAACCAACATGGGGTTCCGAGGTGTGGAAGTTCAAGCTGAAGAAGACACAGGTAGGGACAAGGCCGGGGGGGAGCTCATCCTCAACCAGTATGGGTTTCCGAGGCGTGGAAGCTCAAGCTGAAGAAGGGCAAGGACAAGGCCGGGAGGGTGTATCATCAACCAATATGGGTTTCCAAGACGTGGGGTCTCAAGCTGCAGAAGCGCAACGACAAGGCCGGGAGGGTTTATCCTCAACTAGTACGGGTTTCCGAGGCGTGGAAGCTCACAAGTCGAAGAAGACAGAGGCAAGGATAAGGCCGGGAGGGTTTATACTCAACCGATGTGGGTTTCCGGGGTATGGAAGCTCCAGCCGAAGAAGACAGAGGCAGAGACAAGGCGGGAAGGCTTATCCTCAACCGGTATGGGGTTCCGAGGTGTGGAAGCTCAAGCCGAAGAAGACAGAGGCAAGGACAATCCAAGGTATGGAAGCTTGAGCCTCAACCAATGTGGTTGCCGAGGTGTGTGGTCTCAGCGACAAGGCCGAGAGAACAATCCTCAACTAAAATGGGGTGTGGGGTCTTCCCCCCGCCCCCCCTCCCCCTGAGCGCCCTCCCCCCTCCTCCTGGGGCGGGAGGGTAGTGGGCAGACACCAAAAAACAATCCTCAACTGAAATGGGGTTCCCACCCCTCCCCGGCCCCCCCCCACCCTCCCCCCTTCCCTCCCCCTCCCCACCCGGTGCCTCCTCCGGGGGGTGGCACGAGTCTCACGGGGGGTAGTGGGCAGACACCAAAAAACAATCCTCAACTAAAATGGGGTGTTGGTTCCCACCCCTCCCCGGCCCCCTCCCCCACCCTCCCCCCTTCCCTCCCCCTCCCCACCCGGTGCCTCCTCCGGGGGGGTGGCACGAGTCTCACGGGGGGTAGTGGGCAGACACCAAAAAACAATCCTCAACTAAAATGGGGTGTGGGTTCCCCTTCCCCCGCACCCCTCCCCCCCCTCCCTCCCCCCCCCCACCCGGTGCCCCCTCCGGAGGGTCCCCCCCCTCCCTCCCCCCCTTCCCTCCCCCGCTCCCTTCCCTCCCCCTCGCTCTGCCCCTCCCACCCCCCTCCCAAACCCGCTCACTTAGACCGCAACCAGCGTGGAGTGCCAGGTGCGTATCCTCAAGAAGAAAAAGGCCGGGAGCGGGAACGAAGCCGTGCAGGCTCGCCTGCATGGTGTCCCAGGTACGTGGTCCCAACCCCAAGAAGACCGAAGTGAGGAGGTGAGCGCTGATTATCCTCAACCAATGTGGGGTCCCAGGTGCGTGGTCTCAGTCGAAGAAGGCGGAGGCAGGGACGAGGCCGGAGCACTTATCCTCACCCAATATGGGGTCCCAGGTGCGTGGTCTCAGCCCGAAGAAGGCGACGAGGCCGGAGCGCTTTTCCTCAATATGTTCCAGGCGCGTGCTCGGAGGCGGGAGCGCTTATCCTCAACCAATATGGGGTCCCAGGTGCGTGCTCTCGCGGACCAGGCCGGCGCAATATGGGGTTCCAGGCGCGTGGTCTCAGCCCGAAGAAGGCGGAGGCGGGGACGAGGCCGGAGCTGGGGTCCCAGGTGCGTGCTCGGCAGGGACGAGGCCGGAGGGGACGAGGCCGGAGCGCTTATCCTCGACCAACGTGGAGTCCCAGGTACGCGATCTCGGCCCGAAGAAGGTGAAGGTGGGGACGAGGGCGGAGCACTTATCCTCAACCGATATGGGGTCCTAGGTGCGTGCCCTACCGCAGCGTGCATCAGTGCCAGGTGCTTGAAGCCAGAAGAAGGCGAGCTTCAAGAGGAGGCGACAACAAGCTCGAAGGACTTACTCTCAGAATACGTTCTCGGCGCGTGGTCTCAACCTGAAGAAGACAGAGGCGGCGACAAGGCCGGATCGCCTATCCTCAACTGTCATGGGTTCCCAGGTTCGTGGTCTGGAGAGAACAGAAGCCGAGACCAGGCCGGAGTGCCTATCCTCAATCAATATGGGGTCCCAGGTGCGCGGTCTCAACTTGAAGAGAATGGAGGCGGGAACCAGGCCGGAGCACTTCTCCTCAACCAATATCGGGTCCGAGGTGCGTGGTCTCAACTCGAACAGGACGGAGGCGAGGAGAGGCCGGAGTGCCTATCCTCAACCAAGATAGGGTCCCAGGTGCATGGTTTCATCTTGGAGAAAAGAGAAAGGACGAGGCCTCAACCAATATGGGGTCCGAGGTGCGTGACCCCAGCAAAAAGACGACGGAGGCAAGGACAAGGCCGGGGTTCGAAGTGCGTGGCCCCAGGAAGCTCAAGCTGAAGAAGACAGAGGTAAGAACGAGGCCGGGAGGGCTTATCCTCAACCAATATAAGTTTCCGAGGCAAGGACAAGGCCGGGAGGGCCCATCCTCAACCAACATGGGGTTCCGAGGTGTGGAAGTTCAAGCTGAAGAACACACAGGTAGGGACAAGGCCGGGGGGGGCTCATCCTCAACCAGTATGGGTTTCCGAGGCGTGGAAGCTCAAGCTGAAGAAGGGCAAGGACAAGGCCGGGAGGGTGTATCATCAACCAATATGGGTTTCCAAGACGTGGGGTCTCAAGCTGCAGAAGCGCAAGGACAAGGCCGGGAGGGTTTATCCTCAACTAGTACGGGTTTCCGAGGCGTGGAAGCTCACAAGTCGAAGAAGACAGAGGCAAGGATAAGGCCGGGAGGGTTTATACTCAACCGATGTGGGTTTCCGGGGTATGGAAGCTCCAGCCGAAGAAGACAGAGGCAGAGACAAGGCGGGAAGGCTTATCCTCAACCGGTATGGGGTTCCGAGGTGTGGAAGCTCAAGCCGAAGAAGACAGAGGCAAGGACAATACAAGGTATGGAAGCTTGAGCCTCAACCAATGTGGTTGCCGAGGTGTGTGGTCTCAGCGACAAGGCCGAGAGAACAATCCTCAACTAAAATGGGGTGTGGGGTCTTCGTACGGGTTTCCGAGGCGTGGAAGCTCACAAATCGAAGAAGACAGAGGCAAGGATAAGGCCGGGAGGGTTTATACTCAACCGATGTGGGTTTCCGGGGTATGGAAGCTCCAGCCGAAAAAGACAGAGGCAGAGACAAGGCGGGAAGGCTTATCCTCAACCGGTATGGGGTTCCGAGGTGTGGAAGCTCAAGCCGAAGAAGACAGAGGCAAGGACAATCCAAGGTATGGAAGCTTGAGCCTCAACCAATGTGGTTGCAGAGGTGTGTGGTCTCAGCGACAAGGCCGAGAGAACAATCCTCAACTAAAATGGGGTGTGGGGTCTTCCCCCCGCCCCCCCTCCCCCTGAGCGCCCTCCCCCCTCCTCCTGGGGCGGGAGGGTAGTGGGCAGACACCAAAAAACAATCTTGGTTCCCACTCTTCCCCCGCACCCCTCCCCCCTCCCTCCCCCCCCCACCCGGTGCCCCCTCCGGAGGGTCCCCCTCCCTCCCCCCCTCGCTCTGCCCCTCCCACCCCCCTCCCAAACCGCAACCAGCGTGGAGTGCCAGGTGCGTCAAGAAGAAAAAGGCCGGGAGCGGGAACGAAGCCGTGCAGGCTCGCCTGCATGGTGTCCCAGGTACGTGGTCCCAACCCCAAGAAGACCGAAGTGAGGAGGTGAGCGCTGATTATCCTCAACCAATGTGGGGTCCCAGGTGCGTGGTCTCAGTCGAAGAAGGCGGAGGCAGGGACGAGGCCGGAGCACTTATCCTCACCCAATATGGGGTCCCAGGTGCGTGGTCTCAGCCCGAAGAAGGCGACGAGGCCGGAGCGCTTTTCCTCAACCAATATGTTCCAGGCGCGTGCTCGGAGGCGGGAGCGCTTATCCTCAACCAATATGGGGTCCCAGGTGCGTGCTCTCGCGGACCAGGCCGGCGCAATATGGGGTTCCAGGCGCGTGGTCTCAGCCCGAAGAAGGCGGAGGCGGGGACGAGGCCGGAGCTGGGGTCCCAGGTGCGTGCTCGGCAGGGACGAGGCCGGAGCGCTTATCCTCAACCAATAAGGGGTCCCAGGTGCGAAAGCGGAGGCGGGGACGAGGCCGGAGCGCTTATCCTCGACCAACGTGGAGTCCCAGGTACGCGATCTCGGCCCGAAGAAGGTGAAGGTGGGGACGAGGGCGGAGCACTTATCCTCAACCGATATGGGCTCCTAGGTGCGTGCCCTACCGCAGCGTGCATCAGTGCCAGGTGCTTGAAGCCAGAAGAAGGCGAGCTTCAAGAGGAGGCGACAACAAGCTCGAAGGACTTACTCTCAGAATACGTTCTCGGCGCGTGGTCTCAACCTGAAGAAGACAGAGGCGGCGACAAGGCCGGATCGCCTATCCTCAACTGTCATGGGTTCCCAGGTTCGTGGTCTGGAGAGAACAGAAGCCGAGACCAGGCCGGAGTGCCTATCCTCAATCAATATGGGGTCCCAGGTGCGCGGTCTCAACTTGAAGAGGATGGAGGCGGGAACCAGGCCGGAGCACTTCTCCTCAACCAATATCGGGTCCGAGGTGCGTGGTCTCAACTCGAACAGGACGGAGGCGAGGAGAGGCCGGAGTGCCTATCCTCAACCAAGATAGGGTCCCAGGTGCATGGTTTCATCTTGGAGAAAAGAGAAAGGACGAGGCCTCAACCAATATGAGGTCCGAGGTGCGTGACCCCAGCAAAAAGACGACGGAGGCAAGGACAAGGCCGGGGTTCGAAGTGCGTGGCCCCAGGAAGCTCAAGCTGAAGAAGACAGAGGTAAGAACGAGGCCGGGAGGGCTTATCCTCAACCAATATAAGTTTCCGAGGCAAGGACAAGGCCGGGAGGGCCCATCCTCAACCAACATGGGGTTCCGAGGTGTGGAAGTTCAAGCTGAAGAAGACACAGGTAGGGACAAGGCCGGGGGGGGGCTCATCCTCAACCAGTATGGGTTTCCGAGGCGTGGAAGCTCAAGCTGAAGAAGGGCAAGGACAAGGCCGGGAGGGTGTATCATCAACCAATATGGGTTTCCAAGACGTGGGGTCTCAAGCTGCAGAAGCGCAACGACAAGGCCGGGAGGGTTTATCCTCAACTAGTACGGGGTTCCGAGGCGTGGAAGCTCACAAGTCGAAGAAGACAGAGGCAAGGATAAGGCCGGGAGGGTTTATACTCAACCGATGTGGGTTTCCGGGGTATGGAAGCTCCAGCCGAAGAAGACAGAGGCAGAGACAAGGCGGGAAGGCTTATCCTCAACCGGTATGGGGTTCCGAGGTGTGGAAGCTCAAGCCGAAGAAGACAGAGGCAAGGACAATCCAAGGTATGGAAGCTTGAGCCTCAACCAATGTGGTTGCCGAGGTGTGTGGTCTCAGCGACAAGGCCGAGAGAACAATCCTCAACTAAAATGGGGTGTGGGGTCTTCCCCCGCCCCCCCTCCCCCTGAGCGCCCTCCCCCCTCCTCCTGGGGCGGGAGGGTAGTGGGCAGACACCAAAAAACAATCCTCAACTGAAATGGGTTCCCACCCCTCCCCGGCCCCCTCCCCCACCCTCCCCCCTTCCCTCCCCCTCCCCACCCGGTGCCTCCTCCGGGGGGGTGGCACGAGGCTCACGGGGGGTAGTGGGCAGACACCAAAAAACAATCCTCAACTAACAACCCGCTCACTTAGACCGCAACCAGCGTGGAGTGCCAGGTGCGTATCCTCAAGAAGAAGAAGGCCGGGAGCGGGAACGAAGCCGTGCAGGCTCGCCTGCATGGTGTCCCAACCCCAAGAGACCGAAGTGAGGAGGTGAACGCTGATTATCCTCAACCAATGTGGGGTTCCAGGTGCGTGGTCTCAGTCGAAGAAGGCGGAGGCAGGGACGAGGCCGGAGCACTCATCCTCAACCAACATGGGGTCCCAGGTGCGTGGTCTCAGCCCGAAGAAGGCGACGAGACCGGAGCGCTTATCCTCAACCAATATGTTCCAGGCGCGCGCTCGGAGGCGGGAGCGCTTATCCTCAACCAATATGGGGTCCCAGGTGCGTGCTCTCGCGGACCAGGCCGGCGCAATATGGGTTTCCAGGCGCGTGGTCTCAGCCCGAAGAAGGCGGAGGCGGGGACGAGGCCGGAGCTGGGGTCCCAGGTGCGTGCTCGGCAGGGACGAGGCCGGAGCGCTTATCCTCAACCAACAAGGGGTCCCAGGTGCGAAAGCGGAGGCGGGGACGAGGCCGGAGCGCTTATCCTCGACAAACGTGGAGTCCCAGGTACGCGATCTCGGCCCGAAGAAGGTGAAGGTGGGGACGAGGGCGGAGCACTTATCCTCAACCGATATGGGGTCCTAGGTGCGCGCCCTACCGCAGCGTGCATCAGTGCCAGGTGCTTGAAGCCAGAAGAAGGCGAGCTTCAAGAGGAGGCGACAACATGCTCGAAGGACTTACTCTCAGAATACGTTCTCGGCGCGTGGTCTCAACCTGAAGAAGACGGAGGCGGCGACAAGGCCGGATCGCCTATCCTCAACTGTCATAGGTTCCCAGGTTCGTGGTCTGGAGAGAACAGAAGCCGAGACCAGGCCGGAGTGCCTATCCTCAAGCAATATGGGGTCCCAGGTGCGCGGTCTCAACTTGAAGAGGATGGAGGCGGGAACCCGGCCGGAGCACTTGTCCTCAACCAATATCGGGTCCGAGGTGCGTGGTCTCAACTCGAACAGGACGGAGGCGAGGAGAGGCCGGAGTACCTATGCAAGGACAAGGCTGGAGGGCCCATCCTCAACCAACATGGGGTTCCGAGGTGCGGAAGTTCAAGCTGAAGAAGACACAGGTAGGGACACGGCCGGGGGGGGGCTCATCCTCAACCAGTATGGGTTTCCGAGGCGGGAAAGCTCAAGCTGAAGAAGACAGGGGCAGGGACAAGGCCGGGAGGGCTCATCCTCAACCAATATGGGGTTCCGAGGTGTGGAAGTTCAAGCTGAAGAATACAGAGGCAGGGACAAGGCCGGGGGTGAGCCATCCTCAACCAATATGGGTTTCCGAGGCGTGGAAGCTCAAGCTGAAGAAGGGCAAGGACAAGGCCGGGATGGTTTATCATCAACCAATATGGGTTTCCAAGACGTGGCGTCTCAAGCTGCAGAAGCGCAACGACAAGGCCGGGAGGGATTATCCTCAACCAGTATGGGTTTCCGAGGTGTGGAAGCTCACAAGTCGAAGAAGACAGAGGCAAGGCCGGGAGGGCTTATCCTCAAACCAATGGGTTTCCGAGGCGTGGAAGCTCAAGCTGAAGAAGAATATCCTCAACCAATATGGGTTTCCGAGGCGTGGAAGCGCATGCTGAAGGAGACGGAGGCAAGGACAAGGCCGGGAGAGCTTCTCCTCAACCAATATGGGTTTCCGAGGCGTAGAAGCTCAAGCTGAAGAAGACAGAGGCAAGGACAAGGCCGGGAGGACTTATCCTCAACCAATATGGGTTTCCGAGGCGTGGAAGCTCAAGCTGAAGAAGGGCAAGAACAAGGCCGGGAGGGTTTATCCCCAACCAATATGGGTTTCCCTCAAGCTGCAGAAGGGCAACGACAAGGCCGGGAGAGTGTATCCTCAACCAATATGGGATTCCGAGGCGTAGAAGGCTCAAGCTGAAGAAAAGAAGAATATCCTCAACCAATATGGGTTTCCGAGGCGTGGAAGCTCAAGCTGAAGTAGACGGAGGCAAGGACAAGGCCGGGAGAGCTTCTCCTCAACCAATATGGGTTTCCGAGGCGTAGAAGATCAAGCTGAAGAAGACAGAGGCAAGGACAAGGCCGGGAGTCCTCAACCAATATGGGTTTCCGAGGCGTGGAAGCTCAAGCTGAAGAAGGGCAAGAACAAGGCCGGGAGGGTGTATCCCCAACCAATATGGGTTTCCCTCAAGCTGCAGAAGGGCAACGACAAGGCCGGGAGAGTGTATCCTCAACCAATATGGAGGAGGAGGCCGGGAGGGCTTATCCTCAGCCAATATGGGTTTCCGAGGCGTGGACGCTCAAGCGGAAGAAGACAGAGGCAAGGAGGAGGCCGGGAGGGCTTATCCTCAACCAATATGGGTTTCCGAGGCGTGGCCGCTTAAGCGGAGGAAGACAGAGGCAAGGAGGAGGCCGGGAGGGCTTATCCTCAGCCAATATGGGTTTCCGAGGCGTGGACGCTCAAGCGGAAGAAGACAGAGGCAAGGAGGAGGCCGGGAGGGCTTATCCTCAACCAATATGGGTTTCCGAGGCGTGGACGCTTAAGCGGAGGAAGACAGAGGCAAGGAGGAGGCCGGGAGGGCTTATCCTCAGCCAATATGGGTTTCCGAGGCGTGGACGCTCAAGCCGAAGAAGACGGGGGCAAGGACCAGGCCGGGAGGGCTTATCCTCAACCAATATGGGTTTCCGAGGCGTGGAAGCTCAAGCGGAAAAAGACGGGGGCAAGGACGAGGCCGGGAGGGCTTATCCTCAACCAATATGGGTTTCCGAGGCGTGGAAGCTCAAGCGGAAGAAGACGGAGGCAAGGACGAGGCCGGGAGGGCTTATCCTCAATCAATATGGGTTTCCGAGATGTGGAAGCTCAAGCCGAAGAAGACGGTGTGGAAGCTCAAGCTAAACAAGACAGAGGCAAAGACACGGCCGGGAGGGCTTATCCTCAATACGGAGTCCCATTCAGGCGAACACTGAAGGAGACGGAGTCGCCGAAGGCGAGCCATGGAGTATCCGCGCTCGCAAGCGGGACAATTGCAAAAGGATATCAGAGAAAGAGACCATCACTGAGCATGTAGTGCAGCCAGACGCATGCAGGAGTACCTGCTCCCAGCAGCTTATGAACGCAGCTCTTGTTCATTGAGCAATTCCTAGCCAGCGGTCCCCCTCGGAGAAGCTATGGCGACAGGGACAATCTGTTTCGAGAGATCGGAAGGTATACTGCGGTGCTGCGCCCGCACCTGAGGATGTGTCGCGGGAAACTACTTCTCATTTACTCGGCTTTGTTTTTACGCCAGGAGTGCAAGGAATATGCCCGATACTTGGGCATCGACCCCGGATACGAGGGAGAAGAGACACACAACGCGAGGTTGTGCCCGAGCCTCGGACGCTCTACGAGTGAGGAGTCCTGATATGCCGTTTACCTTTATCGAGGCCCTCCCTGTGCACGCCGACTCGGGTTGTGTCCGTCGGGGCATTAAGAAGCGCTCGTGATGTCTCTGCTGAACACGATGGCGCTGCAGGCCCCGCCGCCGTGACAGAGCGGGGAAACCGGAGCGCGAAGCTCCGAGCCCGTTGGACAGCATCAAGAGCCAACTGGGCGTCAGGGGCCGAGCAACGCACACCAAGCCAGCATCTGCCGACGGTGGTTGACGCTAGTTGCGCTAGGCCTGTGCCACCGTCGAAGAGAAAAGAAATCTTCTCAGGAAGAATGGGTGGGCAGGCCAGCAAGCAAGAGCGAGAGAACAGAACCTGCACACTGACGTGCAACCAGGATACATTTGGCAAAGGGTGCCGCACGGCGCGTGGATACCCTGGTGGTATCTTTCGGACAGCATTTGTTTCTGGGAAGAGGATGTCTTCCAGGCCGGACCAGCAGAACGAAGAAGAACATGCGGGCACGTCCCTGCCACAGCACAGCCCAGGAGGCCACGGCAGCCGTCTGAGCGCCAGGTCCGGCGATAAGAACCTCTTCCCTTGAGAGTCCAAAAGGTGCACGGGAAGCACTTGCATCACGCGCATGCACTCTTGGGGTATGCCCGATGACTACGAGCGACTCCTATCCGACGCAGCTGTTATTCAGCATTCAGTAGACACATACGGGGAGATATAGCATGGTCTCAACTCGAGGAAGGCAGGGGCGGGGTCGAGGCCAGGGCGTTTATCCTCAACCAATATGGAGTTCCAGGCACGTGGGCTCAACCCGAGATGAAGACGGAGGCGGGGACGAGGCCGGAGCGCTTATCTTCAACCCACGTATACTCAACCAATATGGGGCTTCAGGTGCATGGTCTCAACCTGAGAAGAACACGGAGGCGGGGATCAGGCCAGAGATATCCTCAACCAATATGGGTTTCCGAAGTCTGGGAGCTCAGGCCGGAGGCGGGGACGTATCCTCAACCAAGATGCGGAGCGCTTATCATCAACCAAGTTGGGGTGTCAGGTGCATGGTTTGAAGCTGAGAAGACGGCGGAGGCGGGGACGAGGCCGGAGCGCTTATCATCAACCAAGATGGTGTCTCAGGTGCGTGGTCTCAAGCCGAAGACGGCGGAGGCGGGGACGAGGCCGGAGCGCTTATCATCAACCAAGATGGGGTCTCAGGTGCGTGGTCTCAAGCCGAAGAAGGCGAAGGCGGGGACGAGGCCGGAGCGCTTATCCTCAACCAAGATGGGGTGTCAGGTGCTTGGTCTGAAGCTGAGAAGACGGCGGAGGTAGGGACGAGGCCGGAGCGCTTATCCTCAACCAAGATGGGGTTTCAGGTGCGTGGTCTGAAGCTGAGAAGACGGCGGAGGCGGGGACGAGGCCGGAGCACTTATCCTCAACCAATATGGGGTCTCAGGTTCTTGGTCTGAAGCTGAGAAGACGGCGGAGGCGGGGACGAGGCCGGAGCGCTTATCCTCAACCAAGATGGGGTCTCAGGTGCGTGGTCTCAAGCCGAAGACGGCGGAGGCGGGGACGAGGCCGGAGCGCTTATCCTCAACCAAGATGGGGTGTCAGGTGCATGGTCTGAAGCTGAGAAGACGGCGGAGGCGGGGACGAGGCCGGAGCACTTGTCCTCAACCAATATGGGGTCTCAGGTGCGTGGTTTTAAGCTGAGAAGACGGCGGAGGCGGGGACGAGGCCGGAGCGCTTATCCTGAACCAAGATGGGGTTTCAGGTGCTTGGTCTGAAGCTGAGAAGACGGCGGAGGTAGGGACGAGGCCGGAGCGCTTATCCTCAACCAAGATGGGGTGTCGGGTGCATGGTTTTAAGCTGAGAAGACGGCGGAGGCGGGGACGAGGCCGGAGCGCTTGTCCTCAACCAATATGGTGTCCCAGGTGCATGCTCCCAAGCACGAGACTTCAACCTCAAGAAGAACGAGGCCGGGACGAGACTGGAGGGCGTATCCTCAAAGAATATGCGGTCCCAGGTGCATGTTCCCAAGCGCGAGGCCTCAAATTCACAAAGACAAGGCCGGGATAGGCGTACACTTCACAAGTCGTCGTGATGAAGAGATCGCACAGTCAGCTATGCACGCATGTTCCAGACTAGTCGGATCATGGACCGGTGGCTTTGAAAGGGAGGCAAGCGAGCCTGTGGCACAGCTGCAACTGGGGCTCAGGCGTGCGATAGAAACCAGTAGTTCACGACAGCTCGACGCGATGGATACACCGGTACTTTTCAGCGCCTTAAACTGCACTTGCCGGACGGCAGCAAAGAAATGGACACGTCTACCCCACAACCTGAAGCTGGCCATTTCGCAGTTCACGAGACGCTCGGATTGGGCACTGAGGCTAGGACACCTAGCGCTGATCGGTGCACTCTCCAGGTACCCGATGCTGGCTTCGAGAGCCACAGACGACTTCGACTTTGGCCGGCGACTCCAATACTTTTCAGTCCAGGATCTACAAGGGCTTCCGAGAAACACCAAGAAGACCATCCGTCTCTGCATCGCGAACCTTCGGGCTTTCGAGAAGAAGAAGAAGCAGAAGGAGAGGACAGAGCTCCGGAAGCAGAAGCAGGAGGAACTCCTGAGACGGAAATTCGAAGCAACAAAGATTGTGGTCGAGCGCGCGGCCGAAGCTCTGATAATGATCAGAGAACACATTCGCCGTAGGACACCTAGCTGAAGGACATTGTTTCACACGTGACACAGCAATAACACGGGAAGAAAGGTGAGTTGCGAGAATACATAGATCGTCTTACGTCAGTGCCCGGTGACATTATCTGCAAGCACGATGGGATTGCGAGGCTTGCCTGAAGAAGACAGAAGCAAGGACACGGCCGGGAGGGCTTATCCTCGACCAATATGGGGTTCCGAGATCTGGAAGCTCAGGCTGAAGAAGACGGAGGCGAGGACAAGGCCGGGAGGGCTTATCCTCAACCAATATAAGGTTGCAAGGCGTGAGAGCTCAAGCTGAACGAGATGGATGCAAGGACACGGCCGGGAGGGCGTAACCCCAACCAATAAGGGGTTCCGAGGCGTGGGATCTCAAGCAGAAGACGGCGGAGGCGAGGACGAGGCCGGAGCACTTATCCTCAACCAAGATGGAGCTTCAGGTTCTCAAGCAGGAGACGGCGGAGGCGGGAACGAGGCCGGAGCACTTATCCTCAACCAAGATGGGGTGTCAGGTGTGTAGTCTCAAGCCGAGAAGACGGCGGAGGCCGGGACGAGGCCGGAGCACTTATCCTCAACCAAGATGGGGTTTCAGGTGCATGGTTTTAAGCTGAGAAAACGGCCGAGGCGGGGACGAGGCCGGAGCGCTTATCCTCAACCAATATGGGCTCCACGAGGCCGGAGCGCTTATCCTCAACCAACATGGGCTCTCAGGGGTGTGGTCTCAACCCGAAGAAGGCGGAGGCAGGGACGAAGCCGGGAAGCCTTGTCCTCAACCAATATGGGCTCCCAGGTGCGTGGTCTCCACCCGAAGAAGGCGGAGGCGGGGACGAAGCCGAAGAGCTTATCCTCAACCAAGATGGGGTTTCAGGTGCTTGATCTGAAGCTGAGAAGACGCCGGAGGCCGAGACGAAGCCGGAGCGCTTATCCTCAACCAAGATGGGGTTTTAGGTGCTTGGTCTGAAACTGAGAAGACGGCGGAGGCGGGGACGAAGCCGGAGCACTTATCCTCAACCTAGATGGGGTTTCAGGTGCTTGGTCTGAAGCTGAGAAGACGGCGGAGGTAGGGACGAGGCCGGAGCGCTTATCCTCAACCAAGATGGGTTGTCAGGGACACGGTTTTAAGCGGAGAAGACGGCGGAGGCGGGGACAAGGCCGGAGCACTTGTCCTCAACCAATATGGGGTTTCAGGGAAGGCGGAGGCGGGGACGAAGCCAGAGCGCTTATCCTCAACCAAGATGGGGTTTCAGGTAATTGGTCTGAAGCTGAGAAGACGGCACAGGCGGGGACGAAGCCGGAGCGCTTAAGTCTCGGGTGCATGGTCTCAAGCCGAGGAAGACGGCGGAGGCGGGGACGAGGCCGGAGCACTTGTCCTCAACCAATATGGGGTTTCAGGGAAGGCGGAGGCGGGGACGAGGCCAGAGCGCTTATCCTCAACCAAGATGGGGTTTCAGGTGCTTGGTCTGAAGCTGAGAAGACGGCACAGGCGGGGACGAAGCCGGAGCGCTTAAGTCTCGGGTGCATGGTCTCAAGCCGAGGAAGGCGAAGGCGGGGACGAGGCCGGAGCGCTTATCCTCAACCAAGATGGGGTTTCAGGTGCACGGTTTTAAGCTGAGAAGACGGCGAAGGCACGGACGAGGCCGGAGTGCTTGTCCTCAACCAATATGGGGTTTCAGGGAAAGCGGAGGCAGGGACGAGGCCGGAGCGCTTATCCTCAACCAAGATGGGGTCTCAGGTGCACGGTTTTAAGCTGAGTAGACGGCGAAGGCACGGACGAGGCCGGAGTGCTTGTCCTCAACCAATATGGGGTTTCAGGGAAAGCGGAAGCGGGAACGAGGCCGGAGCCCTTATCCTCAACCAAGATGGGGTTTCAGGTGCGTGGTCTGAAGCTGAGAAGACGGCGAAGGCGGGGACGAGGCCGGAGCGCTTATCCTCAACCAAGATGGGGTTTCAGGTGCACGGTTTTAAGCTGAGTAGACGGCGAAGGCACGGACAAGGCCGGAGTGCTTGTCCTCAACCAATATGGGGTTTCAGGGAAAGTGGAGGCAGGGACGAGGCCGGAGCGCTTATCCTCAACCAATGTGAGGTCCGAGGTGTGCGGTCTTAACCTGAGGAACGCAAGCCAGGGACGAGGACGGAGGGTTTATCCTCAACCAATATGGGGTCCCAGTCCGGGACGAGGCTGGAGGGCTCATACTCGACCCACATGGGGTCTTGGGTGCGTGAGAAGGCGAAGGCGGGGACGAGGCCGGAGCGCTTATCGTCAACCAAGATGGGGTTTCAGGTGCACGGTTTTAAGCTGAGTAGACGGCGAAGGCACGGACGAGGCCGGAGTGCTTGTCCTCAACCAATATGGGGTTTCAGGGAAAGCGGAGGCGGGGACGAGGCCGGAGCGCTTATCCTCAAC